GCGACTCGCGGACCCTTGGCGCGAGTGGACTTGGCGCGGTAACCTTGGGCCGAGGATATGGTCTATCCTCAGGCTTAAGCTTGATGAACTTAACTTAGAAAAATTCTAAGGATTCACTACTAAGTCCCGGCACTACTAGGACTCGGTAACGACTTAGTCCAAACTCGGCACTACTAGGGCTCGAGACTTGGCTAGGCGCGAACTAGGTGCGAGACTCATTACCGAACATACTCGATTCTGGACACGCCTTGACATGGACGATTTATCGAAATATACTCGATTTTGATTATTCGTCAATCGAAAATAATTAATCCCTACTGCTGAAGTCCGTTTCTAAAATATAAACGGACCGGAATTAATTACTGAAATGGACTCGGTTACTGACTGGAATTAATCGAGAATACTCTCGACTTAAAAGTCGAACTTAGAATTGAATAGCTGAATAACTGGGCTCGGAACTCTAAACGAGCAATATTAATAAAAGAAAATAGTTCAAACTTGGAACTAAACTGTCACTTTTGTTAATAACTGAACTGGGCTATTACATCCTCGCTAGTGACGGACTTTAGACCAATTGGGAGTTGCAACACGTTATACAAAAGATGTTCCAATATCCTTGCTTGGAGAATTAGTGGAGTGCTTGACTCCATCATCGATGAGGCCAAGGCCGCTTTTGTTAAGGGGAGGAACATAACGGAAAACATCCACCTTATGCAACAATTGCTTCGGCAATACCTGAGGAAACGTGTTACCCCAAGGTGTACCATCAAAATTGACCTCCGCAAAGTCTTCGATTCAATCTCTTGGTCGTTCTTGAAGCAAGTGCTCGATGGTCTTTGGTTCTCTCCGGTCTTCACGAGATGGGTCATGGAGTGCGTCACAACCCCATCCTACCCACTTTCTATCAATGGGAGCCTCAAAGGACATTTCAAAGGAGCGCGTGGACTAAGGCAAGGTGACCCCCTTTTACCTTTCCATTTTGTGATTTGCATTGAATACCTTTATAGGCTAATTAAGTGCAATACGAGGGATGGCTCGAACTTCAAATTCCATCCGAGGTGTGAGCATCTCAAAATCACACACCTTGCCTTTGCCGATGATCTTATGCTACTCTCTCGAGGTGACCCATCGTCCATCCAAATACTCACGAATTGCCTCAAAGACTTTGGGGTCAAATCTGGGTTAGAAATGAAAGTTCAAAAATTCAACATCTATTTGGCCGGAATAAAAGATGATAGCCGGGAAACAATCCTTGATGACACCCACTTGCAACGTGGTCCAATGCCCTTTTAGGTACCTAGGTGTCCCTCTCACCGCGGAGCAATTCACTGCTAGACTCTTTGATGGCTTGGTAAATAAAATTGAGGCTCAACTTAGCGGTTGGTGTGGCCACACACTCTCATATGCCGGAAGAGTGGAACTCATCCGCTCGGTGATCCAAGGTATTGAGTGCTTTTGGATGGGGATTTTCCACTTGCCTATTGTAGTGCACACCAAAATTATACAACTATGTAGGCGATTCCTATGGGGCTCGAAAAGTGCCCCCGTTGCTTGGATAACTTATGTCTCCTGCGCTCGGAATGGGGCTTGGGTCTTCGGGATTTGAATGCTTGGAATCAATCGTTGCTTGCACGTATTCTATGGAACATGCAAGCCAAGAAGGACACCTTATGGTACAAGTGGATACACAACATTTATTTGGAGGTAAAGTCTGTGTGGGAATAGGAAATACACAAGGATGACTCGCCCCTCTTCAAATATCTCTTCGAGATCCGACGTGTTTTGGTTGATAAGGTGGGTAGTGAGCAAGCCGCAAAAGCCCTACTCCACACTACAAAAAAAGTGACTTTAAATAACACTAAGTTGTAACACATTGTGGAGAAGAGATTTTATGTAACATTCATTTGTAACATATTATACAATACAATATTTAGGTAAGACTATTGTAGCATTTTATGAATATGTAGCACTTGTATGTAACATTTTTTAAAAGGTAATACCTCATAGGTAACACTTTTTTATATTTATTTTTAATGTAGCACAAAGTATGTATCATTTTAGCTAAATCACACTTCATGTAACATCTATTAATTAATTAGTAACACATTTTTACACTTATTTATTAAAATAAAATATATTATTTTTTTTTGTACTCAATTCTCAGAACATCCTCCAGTCCCTCAGCTTTTGTCTCTCGCCTCTCGCCCGGCTCTCGGCACCCCCAAAGTGTCTGCTCCACGGCTCTCTCTACCCGACATCTCCTGCTCCTCGGTCGACTCCAAAGGTAACATTTTGCTTTTATTTTGAGATTATGAAATTGAAATTGTAATTGAAATTGGGAACCATAGGGGAATAATTTACCCGACATCTCTCTAGCATATTATATTTATTTTAGCATTTCGTAGATATGACTCAGGGAGCTCCGAGAAACCAAACATGGGACAAAAAATCACCTAAGTAGCCTGGTTAGGGTACATGTGAAACAATAATTGAAGTTATAACAATAAGAACTTTACAAATTGAAGTTATAACAATAATTTGAAAGGATAAGAAAAATAGGATTAAGATTTTTTATTTTATTTTATTTTTTGTTAAATAACAATTTCGTTTGGTTGCTACACATAATTTATATACTCATTATGAGCTTAAAACTTATTTATCTCATATCTTGTATTTTGCGGTTGATATATTTGTTGACTATTTAGCTAAATAACACAATGTTATAGCTCTGCCATATATTGCTTTACTTAGCTCCTAAACTTTTGTGTGCTTTGGTTTCTGTGAAGGTCAGATAATGGTTGATAAAGGTAGTTGGATTCACTACTCACAAGCAAGTAATGAGTATGCCGCAGAAGTGATGAATTTTCTTAATCATGCATTTTCAACACGAGCAGAGGGAGATCAAATAAGTTGTCCTTGCAAAGATTTCTATAATCGTTTTTGGCACCGTAGAGATGAAGTTTATACTCATCTTATTTGCAATGGCGTTGATCCAGGCATCAAAGAATGGTATTTTAGTGAAAGTGGTTCACACTCAGCTCAAAATGAAAACAGAGAATTTGTGCATGATGACATCGAAAGTCTAATATATGATACACATAAGGACCTCATTGCGAACTTTGAAGAAGGAATGGAGAAAGGTACCAACGCAGAGGCTAAAAAGTTCTTTAAGTTGGTTGAAGATGGAAAACAAGCGGTATATCCAGGATGTGAATCATTTTCTAAGTTATCTTTCATCATTCGCCTTTACCTTTTTAAGTGCGTCCACGGGCTTAGTAATAAGGCTTTTTCTGATCTTCTTGAGATAAATGGAGAATTAATTCCAGAAAACGTATTGCCTAAATCTTTTCATGAAGCCAAGAAAATGGTGAAAGATTTAGGCCTTGATTATCAGAAGATTGATGTATGTAGGAATGGTTGCATGCTTTTCTGGAAAGACCATGAAAGTGCTACATCCTGCCATATTTGTCATGAGCCTCAGTGGAAAGAAGATGACAAGCAAAATGACACTAATGATACGAATTCTCAGCATATTCGCCGTATTCCAGCGAAAGTTGTTTGGCATTTTCCCCTAAAGCCTAGACTACAAAGGTTGTATATGTGTGCTGAAACGGCTGATTATATGAGGTGGAATGATGAGAAAAGGGTTAAAGATGGTAAATTACGACATCCAGCAGACGCTAAAGCTTGGAATGATTTTGACTCCTTTCACCCAAGTTTTGCTGCAGATTATCATAATGTGCGGCTAGGGCTTTCTAGCGAATGATTTAACCCGTTTTGAACCATGAACACAACACATAGTACATGGCCTGTAGTTTTAATTAACTATAATCTGCCGCCATGGTTGTTTATGAAGCCATAGTACCTTATTTTATCTTTACTCATCCCTGGGCCTGTTTCCCCTGGAAATGACATTGACGTTTGTCTGCAACCTTTGATTGAAGAACTAAAAGACTTATGGGAGTTTGGGGTGGCTACTTATGATGCTTCAACTAATCAGACATTTGATATGCATGTTGCATTACAAGCAACAATCAGCGACTTCCCTGGTTATGCAATGTTGTCTGGCTGGAGTACAAAAGGATGATATGCATGTCCTAGTTGTCATTATGAAACAGATCATTTATATTTGAAGCAAAGTAAAAAGTCGTGTTACATGGGCAATCGGAGATTTTTAGATGCAAATCACCATTGGCGTTGTCATAAGAAAACTTTCAATGGGGAGAATGAGATAAGGAAAGCACCAGATCCTTTAACTGGGACAGAGATCCTACATTTGTTGAATAATTTTGAAAATAAGTTTGGTAAGAAACAATCGAGAAAAAATGTTGAAAATTGCCCTTGGAAAAAGAAATCTTGCTTTTTTAATTTGTCGTACCCGGAGCACAATGCAACTCGCCACCATCTTGATGCTATGCACATCGAGAAGAACATTTGCGATAGCATTCTGGGTACTTTGTTGGACATACTGGGGAAAACAAAGGATCATCTCAATGCTCGGTTAGATCTTAAAGAAATGGGAATAAGAAGTTCTCTACATCCTATCGTATCCACGGGAAAACGTCTCTTGTTGCCTAGAGCATCATTTTTCAATGACAAAGCAGGAGAAAACTTTGTTTTGTGAAGTTATAAGAAATGCCCAGCTACCACAAGGGTGTGGTTCGAATATTTCACGTTGTGTGCAAATGCGCGAATTGAAAATATCGGGATACAAAAGTCACGATGCACACATTATGATGCAATATTTACTTCAAGTTGTTGTCAGAAAATGTTTACCAAAGCAGGTTGCTCTAGCTTTGATAAGATTGAGTGCCTTTTTCTGAGGCATATGTAGCAAAGTTATCAACCAATTGGACTTGGATCACTTGCAACGTGAAATAGTTGAAACTCTCTGTATGTTTGAGAAAATTTTTCCACCATCTTTTTTTGATATCATGATGCACTTACCTATCCATTTAGTTAATTATGTTAGGTTAAGTGGACCAGTAAGTGGTTGGTGGATGTTTGGACCAGAAAGGTACCTTGGAGAACTGAAAGGTTATGTTGGAAATTGGAGTCGTCCTGAAGCCTCTATAGCTGAAGGATATTTGGTAGAAGAGGGTTTAATATTTTGCTCAAGATATTTGCATGATGGTTCAAAGAAGAAATCCAAAAACTCTAGTCGAAGCTCTGTAGAAGCAACAGGCAATGATATATCAGTTATTTTTCCTAAAGTGGGTCGTCCTCTTGGGAGAAGAAAGGGAGGGAAGAAAGGAGCATTTTCTCTAGACTCCAACACGCAAAGATTAGCACATCGGTATGTTATATTCAATTTCCAGGATGAGCTTGTTGAAAAATACATCAAGTAAGTTTGTCACTCATTCATTTTATTTATATTGTTCATTACTTTTAAGGTATTGTGTATGTTGTTTTCCATTGTTAAGAGTTTGTTGTTTGGCATTTATTTTAACAATTATGATTTTTTTATAAATGTAGGGAACACCATGATATGATGAAAACGAAGTCTCAAGAGAAGCGCAGAAAAAGGTGGAGGCAAGCCCAACAACATAGCCAAGAACTCATGGTTTGGTTTAAAGAAAAAGTAGAGTTAGAACAAGTTCCTGATCATATTAAATGGTTAGCTTTGGGACCTTCTCACATTGCAAGGAGATACACAGGGTACTTCATTAATGGGTATAGATTCTATACTCAAGAACGTGATGCAAAATTGACAACCCAAAACAGTGGAGTTACTTTGACCGCCTTGACTTCAAGTTTCTCAAGTACTAAGGATCTCAATCCTAGTGTTGATGGGATCACTTATTATGGAAGGATAAATGATATCATTGAGATTGACTATTGGGGTTCTTTTAGTGTTGTCCTATTCAGGTGTGAGTGGTTTCAAGAGGATCTTGATTCATATGGTCTGACATGTGTCAATTTCAACAAACTGTGCTATGAAGATGATCCTTTTGTCTTGGCCTCACAAGTTCATCAAGTCTTTTATGTGAAAGATGCTACTGAAAAGGGTTGCCATTATGTAATGAAAAAATTATCAAAAGACTTCATTAATATTATGGACCATACAGAGGACGCATACTTTGCTGAGCTTACTGAATCTGTGGAGGAAAGGATGGTGTCTATTCCCAATGACGATGATGAAAATAGTTGGATCCGAGAAGGTGTTCCTCCCATTGTTCTTGATTATCCAGTTGAAAACCAAGAGACTAATTCAGAATCATATGATACAGGTTTGGAACTAATAGATTTATGAATATCATTGTATATAATTTTAGATTTTATTAAAGAAATTATTTCATTATTTATTTTGCTTAAGTAGATTGGGAACCACTGCATTTATCAGGGCTTTGTTCATGAAAGGCTCGTGAATTGAGTATTTATGCTTTTTTGTCTATTAAGTGCAAAGACATGTTTAAAGCTTGGCTGGTGTGTTTCAACGATATGGTTATTTGTACTCTTTCACATCAATATATTCTTAATATTGTTATGTTAGTAAACACAGCTCTACACTTTTTTCCTGATTGTTTATACCTTCTATTATTTTTAGGTTATTGAAGCAGTTGCGAAACTTAACATTTCGATTACCCTCAGCAAAGTTGGAAGTGATACCCCAACTACAGCTACTGCTAATGTATCTCAAATGGGGCGAACTAATGAGTGGAAGCCATCATTTGCAGTTGCCGAAGTTGGAATTCCTCATCAGGTGCGTGCTACTCTCATTTAAGTTCTTGATTCTTGTATGCATAAACTCTTTAATTCATACTTATGTCATATACGTTCCGTGCTTGGTTTGTTTTAACTTGCCAACAACCTTACAGGGCTTGCAAAAGGAACGTGTGTAAATAACTATGAGTATCAGAGAAGTATATAACTGTTATGCCTCATCGCGAGCAGTTGCATCCTTCAAAGATAGATAGTAGTTTATTCTCTGCCATTCGAAGCTAAGATGAAATCGAGGAGGTCATGTATTATGTTGCAGCCCGTTTGTTTTCTCATTTTACTGGTATGGCCTTTTATTAAAGCTTTTTGTCATATGAATCATATTAAGCTTACACGTCATAATATCAACACTTGATATGTTCAGCCCGCAAATCAAGACACATGAAAACTATACAGAGAAGCCACTGTCTTCTCCATCACTTGTAGTTGACTCGAGTTGGTTTGAAGAAGCACTTAGTTCAAACGGATACTCATCGGCTGGGACTGGGTGGGCCTTGTCTCGGGCTGATATATTCCTTAGTACTGTTAGTATGTGCGGAAAAAAGGAGCCATTTTCATAGGTTTTTCGGTGAAATTCCTCACCAATTTTTTTTCTTTTAGGTATATGCTCTGGTTATGCCTCAAAACAGGTTCTTGAGAACATCAGGCTTGCGCTTGTCCTGCTCTTGCTAATGATAGGTTTCATGGTGATAGTGACGTGCGGCTTATTGTTCGTGACCTTTGAGGCCACCATAAGGTGCTAGTCATTTGCTAAGTATTATTGTGAACTGCTTTGCTCAATTTTAACTTCAGCCCGTACAATTGTGAACTGCTTTTAACATTTTCTGCCACCAAGTATTTCTTCATATGCACTAGCTTGTGTTCTTTCTATTCTCATTCTCCCTTTAACTTTCTATTCTTGGCTGTTTGAGAAGGCGAGAGCTAAAGTACCAGCAAAGACAGACAAATCCGACCAAGTTAACACTCAATCTGAGGTTTGTTATTCTTAGGAATACTTTTTCATGCTTAACTTCAAGCTTATAGCTTAATGATGTACTGTGAAAAAATTCAGGGCGACGACGCATCTATGATGAACAACGGCAACGAGCACATATATCTATGTCAACAGCAGGTCAAGGACTATTTTTCCTTTCATTAGGGTCAAAATTAGCTACTAAATCAAACACAAAAAAAGGGAAAATTGGATTAAAAAAAAAGAAACGTTTTTTATAATTTATAACGATTTTATTTCTGTAGATGCTCGCCCAAGTCATTGCATTTCCTTACATGCTGCCAAATATGATGGTGCCATGCGCGGACGTGCCGAATGTGACGATTCCAGGCGTGCTGGTTAATACACTGCAAAGGCCAACCTTAGATGGCAATCATGTCTCAACATGTTCTGTTTGCTTAGATGGCAATGAGAGCTCAAAATTTTTGAAGCCTATTGGGAAGGAGCTGAAGAAGATCAAATTGGCCAAAAGGAAGCATCACGGCAAAGGCAAGATCAGGAAGAAGCACAATATATAATTCATCCATGACTATGAAATTTCTTTTCCTTCTTTTTTTTCCACATAAGCTGCATTATCTGGGTGTAGTGTGGAGAACTATGTGGAATTCTTGAAATTTCCTGATGCTAGTTTTACAGAAAGAGAAATGAAATATGTTACTATTGAACTTGTGAATTAGTCCTCGAGTTAAAGTTATAATTATTATATCTTCATGGTTTTTTCTTCAAGTATAGATGAATTAGATAAGAGCAAAAATACAAACATTATAATACTTTTAAAGTTATATACATTTATCTTTGTGGATATCCAAAACTTCAATTTAGCCTATTTTTAATTTTTTTATGGGAGGGTATTTCATAATTAATCCCTTAATGACAACTATTGTTTTAAATAGCTAACTATGTAGCTCGTTAGAGCTCGTTATGTAGCTTTTTTTTCAAAAAACGTGATGTATCTTTATATATCTAGTGTTTTTCCCAAAAAACTTACGCGAAATGTTGAAATGAGATGTTTTTTTACGCTATTTTGCGTAATTTCATGCTATTGTGCGCGACATTGTGCTATATTTCTACAACGACATTTAAGCAATAAAATATTCCAAAACTCGTAATTTTTAGGGATTGGAATCACAATTTCAAATGACAAAAGTCCATATATAGTGGTTGGAATTAAATTGTAGTTAAATTAAAATAATAATAATTAAAATGCCTATGCTTAAATTAAAGTATGACTTACCTCATTATATTTTCGTTGTGAAGGAATCGATTTCAGTTAACCAAGCCCTAGTTGGAATGAGCAAAAGCAAGGTACAAATCTCAATCTCTATCAACTCGCTTGTGCTTTCTGTAAATTTACGAAATTGCATTTTTGAAACATGGCCCAAATTCTACTGAACTATTGCTTAGCTCTATGAATATAATTTAATTTAGATTTGTTTTCTTCTTTCTGCTCTCATGATGTTTTCTTCTTGCTGAAAAGATGATCCCAGAGAAAGAGATAAGTAGGAAATGTCGACATTTTTCTTGTTTTTTCTATTAATTTGCATCAAAAAATTTAGACAAGAAAGGATTTTAGGTAATTGAGTTTGTAATTTCCTTTTGTGCATGATCATAAGTGATAATACAGTGTTATTATTCCCAAAAGTTGATGGTGTTTGCAAATTAATGTAAAAGCTGAAAGTGTTTGGAAGAAGCAAAGTGAATGAAGAACCTTCATAATTAGCTTGTTGGATATAGAAAGATTTTATTTTTCCTTTTCTGCTTTTTATGTGTGTATGTGTGTCTGGTGCAAGAACGTTGGATGTTGCTGAATTTTTAATATGAACCACTTAGTTTTAGGAGGATAAATTGCATAATTTATGTTAGTTACACTTATTATAAACACGCCTCGTATGGTTTATTGTGTTTTTGTTATAAATATGCATATGTTTATATACCTAAATCAACTAAAAGTTAAATTTCTCACTTTTTAGAATTTACTACAGTTGAAGATGTCAGACTATGAGATGCAAAGGTCGAAACGAATGGCTGAAAATCAAAGAAGAATGGAAGAGTTGGGGATAAAAACTCTTGCTTATGAGGTTTCAAGAAAGGACCAGAAACGGAGGGAGATAAGCAAAGTTATTTCTAAGGATGATGTAGCAAATAATGATGAATATATCCCTGATGAAGAGGAACACGAACCAAGAAAGTCGAGTAACGAGAATGGTGCACAACATAGGAGAAGATTGAGCTCTCGTTCAAAGAAGGTTGTATAGTTTTGTTTCATAATTATTTAGACACATATTGTCGTAAATTTAGTAATTCTTTTCTAGTTTATTAATATTGACAAGTTGTAAATATGTTTTTCTTATTTTTTGACACAGAGGTTATAGTAAAATAATTGATTTTTTACTAATTCATAAACAATGACAATATGCTCCAGGTGGTGGCAGTAAAAGGAAGTTCTCACAATGGGTTAGAGAAACCACAATCCTCAATAGCGAGTTTACTGAACATGCACCGTCAAACTCTTGGAGTGCAAGAAAAACTGAGAAAAGATGACAACGTCAAAGAAATGGATTCATTAGAAATGGTTCAACGAGACACAGCTGTTGAAAATGAGCATTCTAAACAAGTTACATGGACTGAAAGATTATCCAGACCAGCTACAGTGATGCGCAGTAAACTGCAAGGCAAAGATGTCATAAGCAACTCCTCTAAGAAGACTGCACAAAGCAAAATATTGGTCTCTCCAGGATCAATTTGTTAGGAGTCTGTTCCTAACTGTTGTCGAATTATCCATGATCGAATTTGTTGATTTTTTATTTAATTAATTTGACGGTTGAATTCTAGTTAAGACTTAAAAGCCTAAAAATTGAGAGTTTAAACCTATCCAGTACAACAAACCATATATGAGTGTATGTGTATAAAAAGTACATGTTCATATGCCTATGTGAACCTTCGGATGTTCTAATGTGTTTTCGGGTGAATGTTTAGTGCTGCACTGGGATTGTATATGTTGTGTTCAGTTTAGATATGCTTGATCTTTTTTTATTATTTTTTTATTTTTTTTTTAATTTTTTATGAAGCAAGTACAATGTAGCATACCATGTGCATTGGGTTGAGTTGCATATAGTTGCAATTTTACATATATATTGTGTATGGTGCTAGTGCCACTGTGTCCCAATGACAAGTTGAACTCAGATGGAATGTGCCCTATCATATGTTGAAGTCGAAAGGATCAGTAGGATTCAAATATGACTATGATTGCTTCTAGATATATTATTTGTTTTCTGGATCTTTACCTATTTGTATAACAGGAGGTTGAAACTTTTGCATTCGTTAGTTGTATACTTATTCTCATTAAGAATACTTGTGTTCTTATGTCGCATGGTGTTTGTCTCTGTCTGTGTTTACACTTTTGTATAAATATTCAATTGAACTTTTTATTACATTAGTAGTGAAATGCATTGCTTGATTTCAGTGAAATTATATGTTAAAGTTACTTGTATAAATAGATGATCTCTGAAAAGAAAAAGGCAGCCAACCAAAGTTAAAAAAACAGACACACAATGGTTCCCGTTGCGTTTGCAAGAAAGCCTCATGAGTTGGTAACTATTATATACCATTTATGTTAATTTGTTTACTGGACTCCTTATGAGATCCATTTTGTATTTGATAGTATAAATGACGTAAAATAAGATGAATTAGTGACGAAAAAGTAAGATATATTAATAAAACTACACACACTTGCATGGTGAGTGTCGATTTTAGATATGTGCTGTAGATGAAAATTCTTCTGTGTGTTTTTTATTATTTTTTATCGTTCTTTTTTTTGTATGGTTACAGAAACAAGTTGATGGGAAGCAACCTTCTCCAGAATTGATGTATTGGGAGACACGCAAAAGAACATCTGGTAGAAAGTACAAAACGCCTGAAATAAATGATGTAAGTTGTATTATATTCACTTGTCATTACTAAAAATATAGTTTGTTATGATTATTTGATTCATTCATGTTTCATTCTATCTACATGCAGGAACTTCCTGACTCTATAAATAATGGACTTCTCGGTAGGTGTAGCAAGAGAGTAAAGAAGCTTTCCAAGTCTGATGTTCTGATTCCTGAAGAATTTTTGAAGCCATTTAAAGATGAGATTCTGAAAGAAACATTAGCGGGAGTTTTAAAAGTTTTTGAACATCTCCCAGTTGAAGTGCTTAATCCTATCACCTCGTCATTTGAGAATACATTGAGCATTCAAGAATTAGCAAAACGTCTCAGGGAGCAATCGTCCGGAGATATCAACAACGTTGAACTTCCTCAGGTATTTGTAATGTGGGCTAGAATTTTTTCTAGTAATGCAAAGAACCTATGCATGTTACTTATTATTATATTAGGGTAAATTTTTTTTTCCTTGTAAAAATCAACTCTTTCTTCTTCTTTTGTTGTATTTTTTCCTTTGCCGGAGTCTTACCACTGCTTTCACATATCTTTTCTTATGATTTGTTGACATAAACTGTGTCTTGTAATCAAGGTTCTTTATAATTTGTTATTTAGACCTGAATGTGAAAGTGTTGTTAAGATGTTTTTCCCCATGATTTATTGTTATTTATGATATGAAGTTATTATTCTTCGTGTGTGTTTTGCCTAGAAGTGCTGTTATTACAATGCATTAATGGAATTGTATGAATTTATGTGAATTTAAATGGAATTGGTTCTTGCCCATGATTTATATGAATTTATGTTAAAGTGATGTTACTGGAATGCGTTACTTTTTTTTCTGTTTTTTGTCGTTAAATAATGTTTTATATTGATGAGTATTGTTGTAGGTATTCTAGGTTGGTTATGGTTATTTGATTAAATATGTAATATAGGTTGCTTATGATGGTTTGATTAAACATGTTTTAGGACGATGGAAATGAAGATGGAGTAAGTGAAGCAAATGGCGATGGTGATGATGATGGCCATGGTGGCCTTGTCGAGAAGTGACATATATAAGAGAGAAAATGACCAATGCGAACTCAATATTCTCTTTAGTAGTATCTTTAGTAGTAGGTGTTTGTTTTTTATTGTTCGCCCTTTGTTTCATTATACTTTTCTATCTTTTATTGTTTTACATTGATATTGGAACTATTTCAACTTTATTTATAATGTTTATTTGTTTTACTTTTCTTAATGCACAATGATATTTTGCTTTGTTATTTTATTTACTTTATTTAAAATTGTCATACTCGAAAGCAAATGAAAAATAATCATCATGAGATATAATATATATATATATATATATATATATATATATTATAATGATTAAATGTGCTACATAATCATTTGAAAAATAGTTACCTCCGATCATTAAAGTGATATGGTTTACTGATAAAAATTACCATAATCCGAAAACTACTACAAGAAATTGATACATATTGTTGGTATAATGTTACATGAGAGTTATATGTAGCATATGTAAATTGATACTAAGTGGTGTTACAATATGAAAAGCTACATTTGATTAATTAAAGTGATATAATTGATTTATTGAATGC